GGCCCGATTCGTGGGATTGGGCCTAAACCGGCAGTTGGACATCCCCCAAGGGGTCCCAAATTGGAGAGGGTGCAGGCCGGGCTGAGGGACAACCCCATCCCATGCATGAATTTCGTGTACCGAGCCTCTAGTCTATATATATAAAAGCCTAAGTGACTGTTACAATAAAATGACTGGAATGACTGGTTGCTATGACGCACACTGACCACCAGGGGGCAGACGCTCAATGCAGGAGCTGCCCCCAGCCCGCAGGCCCCGATCGCCGATAGGACCTGCCAGCCAACCTCCTGATCCCTACCCCCAGCCAGTAGGCCCCGATTTGCCTGATTGGGTCCGGGCCCCCGGACTGGGACTGGGAAACGGGGTGGGTGGCAGTGGACATGGCCCCTTTCCCCAGGGGGACTAAGGGCTGGCTCCCTCCTCGGGGCCAGCAGCCAACCTCCCAGGTCCCTCAACCCATCCCTCCCCCTGGCCAGCAGGTCCTGATTGCCAGATCACGGCCGGGCCCCGGGCTGGGACAGGGAACTGGGGGTGGGTGGCAGCAGATGCGGGCAGCAAGGGAAGGAGGAGGTGGAGAAGTGGGGAGTTGGGAACCTGATTGGCCCTGATCACTGGCCAGGCCTAGGGACCCCACCCATACACGAATTTCGTGCACTGAGCCTCTAGTATAATATATTACACATATTATACATTTTAAAGTGTAAAACTTGATAAGTTTTGATGTGCATACATACCCATGAAACCATCATCACAATCAAGAGAGTGAACATGGAGGTGGACATGGCCCCTTTCCCCAGGGGGACCAAGGGCTGGCTCCCTCCTCGGGGCCAGCAGCCAACCTTCCAGGTCCCTCAACCCATCCCTCCCCCTGGCCGGCAGGTCCTGATTGCCCGATCAGGGCCGGGCCCCGGGCTGGGACAGGGAACTGGGGGTGGGTGGCAGCAGATGTGGGCAGCAAGGGAAGGAGGAGGTGGAGAAGTGGGGAGTTGGGAACCTGATTGGCCCTGATCACTGGCCAGGCCTAGGGACCCCACCCATACACGAATTTCGTGCACTGAGCCTCTAGTATAATATATTACACATATTATACTGGGGATGTGCCCACAACCAAGGTACATGCCATTGACCGGAATCGAACCTGGGACCTTTCAGTCCGCAGGCCAACGCTCTATCCACTGAGCCAAACCGGTTAGGGCAGCTGAACCCTTCTTAATGCCGGAACAAGAACCCCAGTAGTATGTTATGGTGTTATGTATTAGTATACCATATATGTATTATCTATACTAATAAAAGCTTATGTGGTCATCATGCCCTCACGCCTTAACAATCCATCACCAGGAGTCCGTGTGCGCAGAGGGCACACGTGGGTAGGTGGGGACTTGATGCTGTGTGCGCAGCAGGGAGACGACGCCAGGGGTCCTGAGGCTCCGTGTGGTGATGCTGGAGGTGGGTCCTGGCGGCTTCACGTGGCGACTCTGGGGGCGGGACACCCGGCTCCAGCCTACTTCTTTGGGGCAATCCATCAAGGAGCCCTGGATAGGTGGGCGGGGCCTACCTCTTTGGGGAGATCGACTGTGGGGGTCCCACACTGTGAGAGGGCACAGGCCAGGCTGGGGAACCCCCTCCCCACAAGTGCACGATTTTCGTGCACCGGGCCTCTAGTATACTATATTCTTGTAATAAAAATAAAGTAAGCTACAGGAAGGAAAATGTTATTAAGAAAGTCATAAAGAGCCCTGGCCAGGTAGCTCAGTTGGTTAGAAAGTCATCCCAATATGCCAAGGTTGCAGATTCGATCTTGGGTCAGGGCACATACAAGAAGCAACTGCCCTAGCCAGTTTGACTCAGTGGATAGAGTGTTGACCTATAGACCAATGGTCCTAGGTTTGATTCCAGTTAAGGGCACATACCTTGGCTGCAGGCTCCTCCCTGCCCTGGGCCCTTATTGGGGCTTGTGCAGGAGGCAACTGGTTGATGTGTTTCTCTCACATTGATGTTTCTCTCTGTCTTTCCCTTTCCCTAAAAATCAATGGAAAAATATCCTCGGGTGAGGAATAACAAACAAACAAAAAAGAAGCAACCAATGGATGCATCAGTAAGTAGAACAACAAATCAATGTTTCCCTCTCTCTCTCTCTCTCTCAGCAGTAAGTAAAATTTTTTTTAAAAGTCATAAGGAAGAGAAAATACATTTATAACACTGTGCTGTATTTATGGATACTGTTAAGTTTATGTCATCCACTTATAAAATGAATTGTCTGTCAGTACCGACATCAATATGATCTTATAATACAAAAAATCATAGATATTATGTAAGTATTACTAACACCAGACATAAAAAATGAAAAGATGTTAAAAGAAATTCATATTTATTTACAGATATAATGATTCATGCACTGACAATGAAGAAGTCACAATATGATCGCTTTATGGTAGTCTTGTGTTAATTGATACCATTACTTCATGGTACCCTAGCCTATACATTAATGAATGAACTGTTATAAAATTTTTATGGCATATAACATTACAGTCATATTTATAATACAGTATTGGAAACATTGTTATGTATATTTTAAAACCACTTACTTGTGATGATAGGCTGATAAACAGTTTCTCCATTGTGAGAGAGGCATGCTGTACAGTAATGTAATTATTGGAAGGCAAGTTATAAAGCAGTTAGAAAACTAACATATTATTAATTTTATGTTAAATATCATTCACCTATGTCTATGTAAGGACAGGCCACCCCCTTCACAATACAAGTTTTGCACATGATGTTCTACACAATGAATATTTAGGTAATGATGATGCATAAAAAACGCCTCAAACAATTCTAGCCATACAGTAGAGTTTCACATGCACACACAACAGATAAGTTTATTAACTGTACAACATGATGATTATTAATTATTAAGTGGAAGTGGAACATCTTAAAGATCTTCATCCTTGTCTCTAGGTTGAGTAGGCTGAGGAGGAGGAAGAAGAGGAGGGGTTGGTCTTGCTGTCTCAGGGGTGGCAGAGGCAGAAGTGGAGGAAGTGGAAGGGGAGACAAGAGAGGCAGGCACATTGAGTGTAAGTTTATGAAAATACATTGTAATTTCTGTCAGATATTTCTGCTTTTTCATTTCTCTAAAGATATTTCTATAAGGGACCAAACCTTCTTCCACCATTTGCTTTAGTTTCAGTGTCTGTATAATAGAAGGGTCCATGTCATAAAAGAAGTCAAAAGCCACTGTGAATAATCAAAACCCGTCTTCCAGACTGTCTAACGTCATTTTGTTTTCTGGTGCTGTTTCTTCTTCATCTTCTTCCTCATCATCTGGTCCTGGTTTGGAAACACTCACCTCCATCAAGTCATCTTCTATTAATTTCTCTGGTGTGGTGTCTATTAGCTCTGCATTAAAAATATGTTCAGGCAGATATTCTTTCTCCTCAATTACTTTCTTAATGGCCTCTGGGAACTTGTCTGTCTCTTGGTTGGCAGAAGCTGCTTTTCCTGTTGATATTTATTAAGCCAAATCTCTTTCTAAAATCATCAAACTATTCTTTGCAGGCATGAAGTTCTCTAGCTTTAGATCCTTCACCTTCCTTTTGCTTTAAGTTGTTATATAATGACTTCTCTTTTTCTCCAATCATATTAGAGTCTATAAGTATGTCTTTCTTATTGCAATACTACATAAAAGCTGCATTTTCAATACAAGATAAAAAAGTATCTCACAAAAAGTGCAAGATTTTCATGCTTACTGGTGTAAGCAGCAGCTACAGCTTCAAAATTTTCTTTTCTTTTTTTTACAGTAGTCCTTACACTGGATTCATTTCTTTTGAAATGATAGGCAACCACAACTGCAGACCTCAACCTATGATACATATCAAGCAATTCAACTTTTTCTTTTAATGTCATGACTTTTCTCTGCTTCTTTGGAGCACTTCCAAGATCACTAGTGGCACTTCATATGGGTACCAAGTTGTTAAGGTTTATGGTATTGCACTAAATATGGTGAAAAATATCAAGAACCATGAGAGATCACTTTTTACTATGATACAGAATTTACTGGAAAGACAAACTTATCACAGTGGGATGATTAGCATCACACAGCCTTTTAAGCAATTATTCACAATTGAGCTCACCACAATAGCAACAGAATGTGGCTATGAAATTATTACAGTATGTACTGCAGTTAGTTTTATGCAGTTATGACTTAATAATGCATCTGTTTGCTTATATTTCTCCATTGTGAAGGGCATCATGTATAATCTGTAAATGTTTGTGAGTGAAAGTTTTAAATAATTTTAATTTTCTATAATAGACATGTGTATATTTTATGGTAGTAGAAGTTAAAATAGACTAGTATCTATATATATTTTATGCACTTATGACATCCCTAACTTTTTAATTTTTCAATTCTTCTAGGATATGTGGTTCATCTGTGAGTTCTTCCAAATTGTTACAAATCTCCAAAAAATTATCCAATATATTTATTGAAAAAAAATCCACATATAAGTAGACCTGTGCAGTTCAAACCTGTGTTGTTCAAGGGTCAACTGTGTCTCCTTTTTTCATGCTACCAGGGCTCATGGACGTTAACTGGAATTATTTTTGTTTATTTTTTATTTTATAGAGGAAGGGATAAGGGGGAGAGAGAAATATTTATTTGTTGTTCCATGGATTCACTAGTTGCTTCTTGTATGTGCCCTGACTAGGAATCAAACCCACAACCTTGATGTATTGAGATGATGCTCTAACCAACTGAACTACCCAGCCAAGGCAGGACTTAACTGGATTAAAAAAAAAAAAAAGGACTCGATTAGTATTACTGTGCCCTCCTACTCTTCTCCCATTTTCTCACTTACTTTCCTAAAAACAGTTTGCTTTTATGTAAGGTTCCAAGAGGTTCTTCAGTTAAGAAACCTGCTTAAGAGGACACTCAAAATGGTGGCGGAGTAAGTCGATGCTACACTAACACGCTTCCAGGACCAAACTGGAATTACAACTAAAATACAGAAAAACTAAGCTGAATGCTAGCTGGAGAGAACCCTGATAACCAAGGATGGAAAGTGGAGGTCACATAGAGACTGGTGGAAGGTGTGAAGGCACAAATGGGCTGAAGTTCTGGAGGTATATCTCAGCTGTGGGGACTTCCACTGAGAACTCTGGGGTCTAAACCCCAAGGTGGGCTCCCAAGCCCAGAGCACCAGAATTGAGGAAGGTACCCACATAACATCTGGCTGTGAAAAGCAGCAGGATTGCTGTTTGCCAGCCAAAGACAGCCTCTTAAAGGGCCAACACACAAAATTTCATGTGTAGCCACTCACCTTGGACTCCAGCAGAGGGAGGAAAGAATGGACTGGAGCTGTGAGAACAGAAGCCAAGGATAGGGGTTCTGGGGTTAGACATCAGAAGGCAGATACCCTGATTTCCTGTGCTGAGTCATTCCCTCATGCTGCAGAGGACATCTTTCTCCAGTGGACCTTTGTTATCCAGGTGGTTTTTGGCTGGGAGTAAGGCAGTTGCCCCACCCTATTGGAAAACTCCTTGCCCCATCTGTGGAGTTTCTGAGGCCCATTATGAAACTGAGAATAACAATCAGCCTGCAGAAGGAAGCAATTACCCCACGCTGTTGGAAAACCTCTCACTCCACCCAGTGGCCGATAGCCTGAGACTAATCAAAACGGAATACAATCAGACTGCAGGCAGAGGATGATCTCTGGAGGTGTTGAGTCTTTGCCTGATCTCCTTCTGGGCCCAGGGCTAGGAAAAGCAGACCATGGTGTACATCTTGGTCCTTTCCAAAGGCACCCAGCCCCAGCAGAGGGAGCCACAAGCTGTGGATTGCTGATAGCTCCAAACAGGATACCCAGTGCCAGTCAGAAACAGCATCTGACACTGACCTGCACTGGAGATTGGGAGCTGTAGCAGATCTACCCAATACATAGTCACAAACCCAAACAGGCAGCCAAAATGGGGAGACAAAAAAACAAGCCCCAAACAAAAGAACAAGATAATTTTCCAGAAGAAGAGCTAAATGAAATGGAGATAAAAAATTTATCAGACATAGTTCAAAATAATGATGGCAAAGATGCTCAACAGCATAAGAAAAGGTATAATAACTATGAAAAATGACACAGCAGTAATAAAGGACATAGTGGAAGGAATACACAGCAGATTAGGGGAAGTCGAGGATCGGATCAGTGAATTAGAAGACAGGAAAGAAAAAAATCACTTAATCATATAACGAAAAAGGAAAAACAATAAAAAATCCGGACAGTTTAAGGGAGTTGTGGGACAACATAAACTGTAACAATATTCTCATAATAGGCGTACCAGAAGGGGAAGAAAGTGAGCAAGGGATAGAGAATGTGTTTGAAAAAATAATGGCAGAAAACTTCCCTAACCTGGTGAAGGAAATAGTCACACGAGTTCAGAAGGCACAGAGTCCCAAGCAAGAAGAACCTAAACAGGCCCAAGCCTAGACACATCATAATTAAAATGCCAAAAATTAAAGACAAAGAGAGATTCTTAAAGGCAGCAAGAGAAAGGCAATTTGTTACCTACAAAGGAGCTCCCATAAGGCTGTCAGTTGATTTTTTATCAGAAACCCTACAGGCCAGAAGGGAATGGCAAGAAATATTCAAGGTAATGAAAAGCAAGGATCTGAAAACCAAAATTAGTGTATCCAGCAAGGTTATCATTCAAAACAGATAGTGAATAAAGAGCTTCCCAGACAAAGAAAGGCTAAAGGAGTTTGTCACCATCAAGCACTGCAAGAAATGCTAAAGGGACTGCTGTAATGAAAAGAAATATATATAGAGAGAGAAACAAATGGGACTACATCAAATTAAAAAGCTTCTGCACAGCAAAAGAAACCATCAACAAAATGAAAAGGGAGCACACTGTATAGAAGAACATACTTGGCAATGATACATCTGATAAAGGGTTAATATCTAAAATATAAAAGGAACTCATTTAACTTAAAAAAATGAAGACAAACAATCCAATTAAAAAATAGGCAAAGGACCTAAATCAGCGGTTCTCAACCTGTGGGTCGCGACCCCTTTGGGGGGGGGAGGGCGCGGTCAAATGACCCTTTCACAGGGGTCGCCTAAGACCATCGGAAAACACATATATAATTACATATTGTTTTTGTGATTAATCACTATGCTTTAATTATGTTCAATTTGTAACAATGAAAATACATCCTGCATATCAGATATTTACATTACGATTCATAACAGTAGCAAAATTACAGTTATGAAGTAGCAACGAAAATAATTTTATGGTTGGGGGTCACCACAACATGAGGAACTGTATTAAAGGGTCGCAGCATTAGGAAGGTTGAGAACCACTGACCTACGGGTTCTTAAATATTATTTATGGTAGAGAATAAAGTATCAGTAGAACAACCATTTGCTTAGTCCAAGTTTCTTGGTGTCCTTGATTTTCTACCTCATTGCTTATTTTAAAAGATCTGGAATGAGACTTGACCCACTTTAAGGAGTCAACCTTGATAGGGTAGATATCAAAAATATTGTTTCCATATAAACAAAAAATCAAACCTCTAATTTTTTTTTTAGTCAAAGAAATACACATGCCAACAAATAAAAATAAACAAATTAAATCATAACAAAATCAAATAGCACTAAAAAATATATGATGAAAAGCAACAAGAATATATCCTATGAAACCCAAAACACCAATCAGAAGGAATGTATACACCCCTATGTTCATAGCAGTGCAATTTACAATAGCTAAGATCTGGAAACAGCTGTGGTACTTTACACCATGGAATACTATGCAGCAATAAAAAAGCAGGATCTCTTACTCTTTGAGACAGCATGGAGTGACCTGGCAAGTATTATGCTAAACGAAATAAACCAGTCAGAGAAAGACAAGTATCACATGATCTCACTCATATGTGGAATCTAATGAACAAAAGAGATCCAGAAACACAGAAGCATGGATCAGACTGTAGAATCTCAGCGGGAAGGTGGAAGTGGGTGGGT